AAAAAAAAAAAAAATGAAATCAAAAACAAAAACAAAAAAAAAATCACCGAAAAATGGCAAAATCTACTGTATCTTCCATTGGATTTTCTGACATCATCATTTGTAAGTGGGCACAGAATCGGGTCCTTATTACCAGATTGACACCGTACTTTCCCTCATCTATGCCCCTTGTCGTTTAATGACAAAAATCCAACCAGGGCTAGAAATGTAAATTCACACACCCGGCACCCACCCCCACATTTCTGTTTACGTCCTCTTGGTCCCCCACAACTGTCGCATAATTCCAAATTCCCCCCACATATTTTTTATTAATTAATTAATTAATTAATTAATTAATTAATTAATTTTTTATTAACTTTTTTTTTTTTTTAACATTTTTCAGAGGGTGGAACAATTGGTGGGGCAACTGAGTTTTGTGGAGGGACTGAGGTTCGAGGTGGACGTGGAGTACACGGAGTTTTTGCTGCGGGTGAAGCGCGTGGAGAAAGAGGCAAAGGCCAAGGGCTTATGGGAGGCCCCACACCCGTGGCTCAATCTCTTCGTGTCCAAAAGGGACATGGCTGAGTTCGATCGTGTTGTATTCAAGGACACATTGAGGCATGGCGTCGGTGGCCCAATACTTGTCTACCCTTCGCTACGCTCCAAGTGAGTAGTTCTATCAAACACCACACTTTTTAAGCACTCGTGTTATTAATTGGTTTCTTTTTTTATTTATTTATTTTTTTTATTCTTGTTTAGTGTTTGTTCGCTGTGGATAGGGCTGCAAACGAGCTGAACTGAGTTGAGCATTGACCTTATTGAGCAGGATTGAATTTTTTTTTTTAGCCTGGAGTTCGTCAATAAAAAAATACAATAGTTCAAGCTCGACTAGTTCGGCTCGAAATTTTTTAAGTGAAATTACCATTAAACACTTGTGTTATACTATTTAAATATATATATATATATATATACATATATATGTGGGGTATTTTAATGATTTAAAACATATATCGAGTCGTTCGACAATGCAAAATATGGGCTCGAGCTCGACTCGAGTTCGTGCTTGAGCCGCTCGAGATCGACCCGTTTGCAACCTTAGACTGGTGGATTTAGTTTTGCATGATACCTATATTATGAGTTTTTTTTTTTCATACAAAATGTTGATTTTGATTTGAATGTTTTGGCATGGTAAAATTAGGTGGGATGAACGTAAATCCGTGGTTTTACCACAAGGAGACATATTTTATCTGGTGGCATTACTCAGATTCTGCTCTCCATATCCCAATGGCTTATCGGTGGCACAAATGGTTGACCAAAATCAAGAAATTGTACAAGCCTGCACCAAAAACGGGTTTGACTTCAAGTTGTACCTTCCCCATTACGAGTCATGTGAGGGCTGGAAGAACCACTTTGGAGATCAATGGCCCAGATTTTGCCGACGGAAGGCGGCCTTCGATCCTGCGGCCGTGCTCGCGCCAGGCCAGAAAATATTCCCCAGAAATTGGGGGCTCAATGCTCATGATGATAATGTTCCTGATTTTAATTTAATTTAGGGTTTTTTTTTAGCACTAGCAATGTAAATTAATATTATTGAGAGGGGATTTTGGATGTTGTTACTGTTGTTTTGTCTTT